TGGGGGAGAATGTTACGGTAAAAAGACTGATTAGTCAACAGTTTTAGATGGCACATCTTGTAAAAATGTTCCTGGGATTCAGTTCTAGAATTGAGGAAGTTTAAGATCAGCCATGAAAGCGGCACAGGATAACATACACAGGATTAAATCCTTCAAAATTTAAAACTCACATAAACTCTTAAGTTTGGGTCAAATATACTATACATGCTATTTCCCCTTCCCTTACCCTGCTTCTCTACATAGCTTTCTATTGTATATAGCTGAAGACGTTCACTTTAAAAGAGGAATAATTTCCCGTGTTATTATTTTATACAACTCAGAACAACTAATCTGATATATTTATTTTGGTCGGTCTTGCTTTTCTCTCTGAAAAAGAATCCTCCCTCTGTAAACTAATAATCACAGCAACGAGCTCCTTTCTTTAACTTACAAAGTGATTCTTACTACATAGAATTCTACATGCTTTCAATTGTCTTTCTGTCTTCCCCTGGTATATATGATACCTGTGTTCCGTGATGCAATCCGTGTTTCACAGTCAGAAGAGAAATTTACACTAGTCCTGTGAATCTGCTGGTAAGTATTAGACTTTCTTTTGTTTTCCAGTGCTATACCTATCATGTGACTTAACTCTCTTCTACAGACGATCCTGTCTTCTATCAAATGGTATTTTAATCAGTTCTATATATAATAATAAACTGCACTTCTATGCTGCTTGACTGTGTCGTTTCATAGAGATCTTTGAACTACAGTCTAAAACAAAACTTTGTGTCAGCGTTCTCAGCCTTATTTGTGGTTCAGACATCCAAGATCCTTATCGGAACATCCCAATATTCCATTTAAAGAAGCTTAGTTGTGCCTGTGCAAGACAATCTACTTAGCTCAACTATGAATTTTTGAACATACAGAGAGGGAGTCATGAATTATCTCCAATTTATGCAGTTTCTATTAATGTGATTTTTAGACCCACTTGGAAGTGCACTATGTATTTTCCATTCAAGTCTAAATACAGGCGTCACAATTAAGTATATTAAAATCTAGGCTAGGATACAAAGAACCACAAAACTAGATCCAGCCACTCAATGAAACTTGTGCTTGTTCAATAGGAGCTTCCCATGCTGAAGCACTAATGAAACTAGATGGTTTCAAAGGGGAGTAGCCATATAATATGGCTGTCAAAATTTATATGCAAAGAAGCCTCACTGGGTGCTGATAGGCCCTTAGATTGGGCCTCCAACATGGCCAATGATCAGGCATGTTGTGAGATTCAGCCTGACAACATGTTCCTCTATAGGAATAAACAATATTTTGAATGAAAATGATAGGGATAGTGGAGAGGATTTCATTAACATCCTGATCAAGAAATTCAAGGGAAAAATGGTCTTGAATTAATGCTGCCAGGAATAATAATTGAAAAATATGTAAAAGCATTGATTTTAATTCCAGATAGAAAAATGAGGATAGATTAATTAGCCACCCATTCTGCATCCAATAATTTCTCAGAAGAAAATGAATCTTTAGATGGAATTTGATAGATTATGTATGATAGAAGAAAGCCAGGAAACCCATACACATAGAAAATGTAGTACTGACCATGCATATGTATATACTGTAAAGTGTATGTATATAAAGTGTGAAGGAATCTTGTAGGAAGAATTAACATCATATAAATCATTGTATGCGGCAAGGAACATTTTTATCAGGAAATCCTTATACATGCTGTCTGTGTTATAATGCACTGAAAACTTTGAGCCTAGAGATGAAAATTCATAAGACAGTTCTCTGAAAAACAGTACTTCTGTATTTTTACAGTATCTTTTGAATCACTGTACAATGGGTTTTGCAAAAACAAAGTCTGTTTAAACCATCTACATCTCCTTTAACTTCTTTTCTCGTTTATAGCTTTCTTCTTGCCAGAAAGGGGAGAAAAGGTATTTGACTTACAAACTCTGTCTAACATATTGCCAAGTTATAAACAGAAAAGAGACCTAACTTTCTACAATGTGCACTTCGACCTTTTCCACATTTTCCAGTTCTTAAAGATCTAATACTTTAACATCTGAGGAGAGAAAAGAGCTGTAATAGTTTAAGTAGGTTCTGCTTTAGGTTTCAAGGAAACAGAAGCTGATGGACTTGCAAGAAGACTGCTGAGCTCAGAAAAAAACCCCTAAAACTATCAGAAAAATCAGGTTATAAAGCCGCTTTTTAAACGGAAAAAAACAGGCATACATTTTCAATCCTCCGGTATTCTTAGATGGTGATTATTATTCTCAATAAGGATTTCTGACAGGTTAACTAATTGGAGTAATGCAGCATTTAGATGCTCTTTTTTGTTCATCTATTGATACAGTGTATTTTTAAAAATCATTGTACCTAGCATTGAATTTGATGTTGTTATTCAAGGTGCAGATAACCCAACCAAAAAAAGTCCTTTTTTCTCATCTGAATTCCAAAAACAGCTAAGAGCCAAACTATAATAAGTTAATAGAGTATTCAAAATTTGGACTGGACTTGGCCCTTAAGAGAGAAACAGAAACAAAAAGAGCCCCAATCAATTTCTGATTTAGATTAAGCTTTGGGCATTTTTTATTTTTTCCCTTTCCTCGTGCACCATTTTCTTTCTGAAAATCCCTCCTCTTATTGTACCCATTTGCACCTGTGGGTATTTGGAGTGAGAAAAAATGGGTGCAATAATTTAATGTGTGCAATAATTTAACCCCCTCCCACAGTTTTGTTCAGATTGTGTTTCCATCAGTTGTTTTTTGTTACAGTAGAGACCTTCAGAGGTTTTAATCAAAGCATTAATGAAACATGTTGCTTGGCTGCAACCACATTTATGCTCTGTATATGAATGGGAGTATAGGAGGAGAGCACCATCACAGACAGTAAGAAAGACAGCTGTAGCCTCCATATAAATACTAGTCTCAACTAGAGAAGGGCCACTAAATTAACTGGCCTTTGGTAAGTCTGCACTTACCCAAGTCCCACAGATTCTCAAGTTTCGCCCTGTATCTCTAATGAAAACCCAGAAGTGTTTCCCAGTTTTGGGAAATTGTGGTGTTTAAAGCTTTGCTTGGTTATTGTTGAGAGACACATTAACTATTATATAACTTAATCAACAGCTTAAATATCTAACAATAATATATTGAATAATGGCTGTGATTTCTAGTACTTTCTTTCTGTATCTTTTACTGCGCTGTCAAGGTCAACAGGTAACATAGTCACTTGATAACCCAAAAGAGAAAAACAAGCAACACAGTAAAACAACTGAACTTTTAAATAAATGTTTTCTAACCAAATAAACCTGCTATTTCTTTTGTACACACTGGTGTTTGCCAACACCAATTTGGTACTCCCGCCAACATTTTTTAAAAAAGCAAGAAGTGGGTGGTATTTGCTACATACATACACTTGTTCACTCTTCAAATGAAAAGTTACAATAAGTCATGAATATTTTTGAAGTTATTAAAAGATCCTGTGTGAGTAATGAGTTAAATTCTTCCTCACATATTTCCAAATATGTCTGTTAGCAATATTTCACATTACAGAATAAGATGCTTTCTACCCCCAGGATGGGATGCTTTTCATTGAACATGTTTGACTAATTTGGAATTATTTTCACACCATCTTGAAAAGAAGAAAAAAATATGGCAAATCAGTGACTTCAAATTGAATTTTATGTGGTGTTATTTTCAAATGTTTTGCCTCTTAATTGCAAAACGTTAACTTAAGAGGCAAGTCTATCTACTATATATAAAAAGCTTCAGCAATTTCAGATCCTGTTAATATTCACTGATATGGAAAAATACAAATGACAATGTCTAGTTAATATTGCATATTCCTTCCAAAGGTAGCAGTGTGTGTATCTGAGTAGTTCTAACAAATACTATAGAAATCCTGTAATAACAAAAAGTTTTTATGATTAAATTCTGAAATTCACAAAAACAGCTTGGAACTTTGGTGATTATTTTCCTGATCAGCGCGTAATTAATCCAAAGTCTTTCTCCTAACTAATTTCTCACAGCTATTAATATCCATGTCTACACACATCTGGTAACTTCCTAATACAGTTTAAAAATAGTTTTCAGTGGCTGGAGCTTTCATCTTAATAAGTTACATGTTATTCATAAGATTATGTGAAACACTTAAATGCACCTATACGCTAAGCTTACTATCTGTGAATGAATCAACCCCAATAATATCCCAGACAGGTATTGATCTTCAACTGACTTTTCATTTTAGGATAAAAGTAGAACAGAACCAACTCCATATGCTACTGGCAGCCTGTGTTTGGGAAAAGGCTTTCCAATCTGAGCAGCAGTCTTGACATGAATTGCAAATTTTAGCTGCTTACATAAATGAAATATAAATAGCAGTTACCCTTTACATCTGTACAGGAAGATTAGGACAGTGTGTCCTGCTAATCTAATTAAGACAAAGAACAAGTCCTTCTCCTCATTGAAAGACAGAGTACATTCAGAAGACTTTATGAAATGGTATAGTCTCTCCTATATAAAAATAGTTAGTAACCCTTAAGAGAAAAATTCAGACCATCATTTAAAAAGAAAATACATTCTTGTCCTTACATTTTATACATTAGTGAATGCATAGATGAAGATCTGCAGCTGGGAGACTTGTGGTGTTTTTCCCAAATGCGGTGCAAGCATTCAGTCCTTGTGCATTCTAACTTAGGAATACCAATAAACTAAGGCACACTCTTTTGGATCCCCTTAAGATCACAGTAACCACATCTATTTCCTATGTGTGTTGAACTAACCTTTTATGATCAGTGTTTGCCCACTGGTACGTAAAAGAAACTGCTGAGATAATATATTCAATACTGCACTTCCTTTTCACCTCATTTCTTGTATACTAGATTATTGACCTAACCTTGAATATAAGGCAGAAAGCACCAGATGAGCCCTGCACTATATCACTAACAAGTCCACATACAATGAAGAATACTTCCTCCATTACAATGCTTCACCATTTTATTCTAAAATTTATCATCATGCTAATGACCTTCCTAGACTACATGTGGAATACACCCTTCTCAACAGCACCATTCTGTACTACCACAAACACACAGAGAAGAACAAATGTGCTCTGCCTGGAAACATCAGCCTACAACACAAACAAATAATATAATGCAAAGATCTGCCCAACATTTTGGCCCTACTGCGGAAAGGGACTACAGTTTCAAGGCTCAACTTCATTCCTCTGGGCTGGGACTAAGCAACCTGGTGATACGCTATGGCCACTTTTTCAGTCTCTTATAAGCAAGCTGAAATTTCAGCAACAGGATTGGTCAAGTATTGATCCAAGATTGAAGGATCAGGCCATCCATTCATGAAATATAAGAGAAAAAAGTACCTTGCAGAGATTCCAGAAATAACCCACTCCCAGAGATGGCATATTTTGCCACATATCTGTCATCCTGATTGTGCAAACTGTCCACTGAATAAACGGGAGAATTTAGATACAGACAGAAAAATGGATTCCTATTGAACATTTCAACCTCATAGTCTGTTTCGTGTGCCAGATGCTATTTTACAGGATATAACATTTCTTTTTTCCATTAGGCCTTTTTGTGTGTGCTACCAAAAACTGCCATCTTTCTTTGGACATTGTTTATAGAATATATTTTCCTTTTTTCCTAGCTCTAGCTGCATATAGAACAGAAACATCAATTCACAGGCCAATCAGGAAATTCACTTTCCCTTCCCCATCCAAAATCAATACTACTGGTTACCTTCATTATATGCCACTCTCATTCTCAAGCATGTTTCTTACTGACAGCATTTCTGAATGTGCACCTTCCAAAACAACTGTGTACTGCCATAGCTCAATCCTTCCAAAAGACAGATCATCTGCAGTTTTTTTGACAGTTGCATCACACATAGACTCTGCTTTAGATTTATTACCCCTACTCTCCACAAACAGAAGCTAGAACTCACACAGATTTCTGAACAATGATCTCTGTAGAACTGTGCCTCATTTTCATGCTTTAAAATGTTTCTGCAAGAAACACGCGTATGCATTCCTCAACTGTTGAACCAAATCTTAGTGTAAGAATCAATGCATATCCAGGACAGCATTAGCTGGTGGCTTTTGTGTATTTTTTCCTAGAGCACAACACAGTTTAATCTTTTCAATCAGGGCAACAGAGAAAACTCTGCCTTCCATATAAAGATCTGCAGAAATGGCACATAAACCACACCACTTTATAGTGCTCTGAGACCCTGGAATGAGAAACCAATAAACAAGCTTCAAAACAGGAAAAAGTGTGAGTTTCTGAAATCAGCTCATATATCATGCGTTGCCTGTTTACATGCAACATTACAGCAACACTATGACTGGAAATAAAACATTTGGCAGAGCACTTTCTCTTTAACATATAATATCTTTGATAGTTTCCTGTTTAGACACACTTGAATAGAAACAGCATTTTTTTTAAAAAAAAAGAATTGTAGAAGAATATTGAAAGAACTGTAGTATAAACGCAGTGTTCATGACAGAAAATATAACTTTTCTGGAAAAAGAGAAGACTCATTGAGTTTTGAGTTCTGCTAGTTTTCTCATGATGTCACTTTCTTTTTCAATGCAGAGAGCTCTTTGTGAATTTCACTGAATTTTGGTCTCATTTCAGGATTGTAATCCCAACACCGCAACATTATTTTATAGATTTCCTCTGGACATTTCTGAGGTGCTGACATACGATAACCTAGCATACAAAAATAAAGAAAGGAATAAAAGATAAATATTGGAAATTTAATTTAATATTGGAAAAATGAAAACAAAGGACTATAATTAAATATTAGGTTGACACACCGCCTCAGAGTTCATTCCTACATAAAAATAAGATGTTGATTTTTGAATATATTTCAACACATTTTGCATAATTTTCAGCTACAGGACTGAAATATGAGCAGTAGAAATCCATTTCCACTGAGAAAAAAATGTCACCGCCTGTCAGTCACTCCACGTCACAAGCTCAGATTTACAAAGGGTGTAAAATATTAGCTCTAATATAATACTGGAATATTGGCAACACTTGTTTTTCATTATGTTAAATCAAATCAAGAAAATATAACATTAATACACAAATTTCATCCTAATATTAATTGCAATTGTTATGGCTTCTCAATGTACATTTTAACTTTTTGGCTCCACTAGGTTGGATCTAGTCTAGAAATGGGGTTATTCATATTCGTATACAAATATCCCCACACAGGTGGCATTAACAAGGGTCCAGCCCCTCTGACGCGGATGGCACGATTCTACAAATGGCTCTGCAGTGTGCGATCCACTCACCACTCCTGGCAGGAGGCGGGAGGACAAGTCTTGCTGCAAGGTAGAAGAGTGGTCAGTGGACTGCGCACTGCGGAGCCATTCATAAAATTGCACCATCCGCGTCGGATCAGTGAGTGGACCGTCCAGCCCCTCATTTACGCCACCTGTGTGGAGATATTCATATTTGTATACGAATACCCCCATCTCTAATTTAGACTTAGGTGTACTCAGAGTAGACAGATTGAAACAAATAGGAATTAAGTTACTCTTAATTTGGGTTGAGTGAACCTGTCCTCATCAATTTCTCCTAGGTTCTTATTCAAAGTCTGTTGTCATTTCAGCTTTGTGCTTTGAAAGTTTATGTGCATTTTTATATTGAAAATTTATAATTTTCTTCTCTGTTTTTAATAACGTGCAGATTTCTGAGTGGACATCTACAAATGCACATAAAAAAAGCTAAGAAGTGCTTTTCCCTGTATAAACACATTGTAACCGTAAGGAATATATGAATTTTCATAGTGCAATGCATTCTTGATCTTCAAATTTGGGAACAGTGAATTTGATAAGTTTAAATTGAAATTTGATAATGACAGGTTACCCACCTGTAACTGTAATTCTTCGAGTGAATCTCTGTGATTCACACCTGGGTGATTTGTGCATGCGGAGCCTCATCCGAAGATTCTAGAGCTTCTACAGTAGCAACGAACACATTAGAATATGCCCCTGCCCCCCATATAAGTACCTTGGCTCCAAGCATCCCTTTTCAGTTGTGTCAATTGGCGCTTAATAGTAAGCAAACAATGGTGTGACAGAGGGGAGGACGGGTGAGATGTGTGAATCACAGAGGTGCACTTGAAGAACTACGATTACATGTGTGTAACCCGTTATTCTTCTTCGTGGCCTCTGTGAATCACACCCTGGGTGTGATTCACAGAGCCCACGAAGAAGAATAAGCGGTCTTACCCGGAGGCAGGTTGTCACGCCAAGGTAGAGGCTAGAACAGCATGTCCAAAGGCCACATCAGACTTCTGCCAGATGTTGAGTCTATAATGATGAATAAATGTGGATGGCTGTGCTCAAGTGGCAGAGGCACAGATGTCCAGAAGAGGTATGCCATGGAGAAAGTCTGTAGAGGCTGCCACTGCCCTGGTGGAGTGAAGGCAAACCACTCTAGGGGATGGTTGTCGAGCAACCTGATGAGCCAAATGAATGGTAGGGGTGACCCATCTGGAGATAGACTGGGAAGTCACCTGATTGGGTACGTTGGAGATTTAAAAAGCCCTTCTGACATCCAATGTATGGAGTATTTTTTCTTGATTTGAAGAAGGTGACGGAAAAAATGAAGGAAGGACAATCGGTTGGGAAAGATGAAATTGAGAGACAATTTTAGGGAGGAAGGAATAACTTCACCTTATCAGGAAAAAATTGTAAAGGGTAGTCATAGTGTAAAGGGTAGTCATAGTGTAAACCTGTCAATTCACTAGCTTGTCAAACTGAGGTGATGGCTACGAGAAAAGCTGTTTTAAAGGTGAGGAGTCTTAAGTCAGTTGTAGCTAATGGTTCAAAAGCAGCTTTGGTAAGCTGTTTCAAAACAAGAGTTAGTGACCATTGTGGGGAGGGAGGTTGAATATCGAGGTAGATATGAGAGAGACCTTTCAGAAAACGTTTTGTTGTGGATGTTTGGAAGAAGCTTGCTGCTGGAGAATTTGGAGGTTGGTATGATATTATTGCCGAAAGGCAGACTCTCAAGGATGAGATGGAGAGGAAGATGGATTTGAGATGTAGGAGGAAGCAGAGAACAGTGGAAAGTGATGGATTGATGAAGGATGATGAAGAAGATTTGGTAAAGGATTGAAATTTCTTCCATTTGTACAGGTAGGCTTTTCTTGTGGATGGTTTTTTTTTTTTTGAATGATGAAGAATGTTCATTAACGAAGGAGAATCCTCCACACTACCAGGTGCAGAACAGGTAAGTCCGGGTGTAGGACTTGGGGATTGTTCTGTGTGAGAAGGTATGGCAGGCAGGAGAGATGGTGGATGTCTGATGAGAGACTGCAGAGAACTGGGAACCAAGTCTGTCTCGGCCACCAAGGGGCTATAATGATGGCATTAGTTTGTCTTGTTGTAGACGGACGACAACTTTGTGGAGGAGAGGGAACGGTGGAAAAAGGTAGGTAAGAGTCTTGGATCAACAGCCGACAAACACGTCTCCCTGGGAATGTTTTCCTATTTCTGCTTAGGAGCAATGCAGTTAGCATTTCCGATTCGCTTGGGAGGCAAAGAGATAGAGAGTCGGTGTGCCCCATTTCCGGCATAGTTGGCAGAATACTGATTGATCTAGTTCCCACTTGTGAGCCTGGGCATCTGTACGGCTGAGCGAGTCTGCTAGGTCATTGTCTTGAGCAGTGATGTGTAAGACTGTGAGACATATGTGATGTTGCAGACACCACTCCCAGAGATCGATCGCTAAGTAGAGCAGACCTGGAGAGTGGGTGCCACCTTGTTTTAGGATATAGTACATTGCCGTGGTGTTGTTGGTGGCAATCTGTACCATTTTTCCTACAAGAAGATTTCTGAAAGCCTTGCAGGCCTTTATGACAGCTAGTAGCTCTAACTTGTTTATGTAGACCAGTTTTTCTCTGTGAGATCATTTGGCGTGGACTGTGAGGGATCTGCAATGTGCCCACCAGCCAGTGCGACTGGTGTCAGTAGTGATGTGTATTTGCGGGCAAGGTTGTTGGAATGGTTGCCTGATAGAAACGTTGGTATGGGAATGCCACCATTGAAGTTGAGAGGCCAAATCTGGAGTGACTCTTAAGAGAGTGTGGAGAGAGTCTGCTAGTGGATCAAGTAGGGCCAGAAACCAGGATTGGAGAGATCTCATTTTGAGACGCACATGTTGTACAACTGACGTCATAGAGGCCATGGTGCCTAGAACTCGTTGTACTATAAAGGCAGGTATCAAGGCATGCAGAGTGAAGTCACGGAGTAAGGTGAAGAGATTTTGTCTCTTTTCTGCAGGGAGGAATGCATGAGCTTGTGTGGAGTCGATGAGTGTGCCTATGTAATGTATAGTCCTTGTAGGTTTTTAAGTTGATTTTTGTTGTTGATAGACTGAGATCATGAAGAAGGGTGAGGGTGAAATGGGTCTCGTCGAGCTTTGTGATGGGAGTGTGCTACAAGGAGCCAGTCGTCAATATATGAAAAGACAAGAAAGTTTGGAAGTCTGAGGTAGGCGGCTACCAGCGCCATGCACTTTATGAACACTCTCAGAGCTGTTACAAGGCCGAATGGGAGTCATTTGAATTGGTATGCTTCTGATCAAAGTTGGAAACGAAGGAATTTTCTGTGTGCGGGAGGTATTAAAATATGAAAGTAAGCATCTCTTAGGTCTATGATGGTGAAACAGTCATTTTTTTGAAGTAAGGGAAGAAATGATTCTAGAGTAACCATGAGGAATTTTGTGGGGATGGTGTAGTTTAATAATCTTTAGAATAGGGCAAAGACATCCGTCTTTCTTGGGGACGGTGAAATAGCAAGAGAAAAACGCAGTGTAGTATGGCATCTTTGAGAAGTAAAATAATTATTTCTTCTTGCAGGGGTTGTGATGGAGGATTAACGACGTGTGCTGTCAAAGTTGGAAGAAGTGGATACAGTAGCCGTTTTTTATTATGGAGAGTACCCAGGAATCTGTAGTGATGGATTCCCATGCAGGTGTCATGAGTGCAGCTGAAGACCTGGAACCAGAAGGGTTAACTCAGGCTGAGGAGAATGCTGAACAATCAGAAACACCTGAATTGCCTCCAGATTCTCCTTCCTCAGCAGACAAGCTTCGGGCCAGGCTTCAGGGAAGACTTATGGCAAGAAGGTCAGAGGATCGCTCGAAGGCTGTCCACAGAAACATCCGTTCAACTAGCCCTGAGTATTGACAGAATGGAAATGTTTCCAGCAACGCAAGGGGCTGTTTTGCTATAAAAACAGCTCCTAGTCAGCTAGAATTTCTGTGGAAGCAACAAGTCAAAACCTCTGGCTAGCATCCATGCTCCTACAACCTTGAACCGTGTTCCTGACTCTGGACTCTGACCCTGGGCTACGTGGTGTATTTGACTCTGGACTATGACCTTGGACTACATTGTGTGTTTGGCTCTGGGCTCTGACCTTCGTTCTGTGAGTTGGTTTGGGAAATGGTTATTGGCTTTGCATTCTTGGTATTCCTGACCTTGGACTGGTTTATCGGACTTCGGCTGTTGTAACCCCCGGGAATGTGACAGCAGGTAAGTGTTTCCAGAGGGCAGGGCTGGTGGGGTGGGTGGCGATCTCTGTCAGCGGAATATCAAACATGGTGTTTGAGTTTCTTGTCATTCCACCTAGTGGCAGTCTACTGCCGGGTTTTGGCTCTTTGGTTTTTGAAGTATGGATTATAAGAGGTTTGTCATGGAGGGTATCATTGGAACCTTTGGAATGAGTTATAAGGTTGTTTCCATTGATTTCGCTGAGGACGTTGCTGGTAGGAAGGGTAAACTCCCCAACATCTGGCTGCTGAACTTTTTTGGATATTGAGGATCAGCGATATCAGAGCCTGTGTCTGTGTGATGTTGAAATGGAGGTTGCTGATGCGATGGCATAGCAGTAGAATAAACGGATGCTGGCATTGCCGAGTGTGAAGAGTGATTTCCATCATCTATTGTAGTAGGAAAGTATCAGGAGGCTGGGACTGCAAAAGCCTCACGGGTGGATGAAATCTGCCTGACGGTTCAAGTTTATTTCGATACCAAGTGGGGAGCAGGTTGAGGAATAGGTACCTCTCAGTGATGTGGCCGCTTCAACACCGATGGTTGTAGAGAGGTATGCCGACTACTAGATGGTATTATTGAATGGGGTAAAACACCTGGTCAACTAGATGGTGCAGTTTGTTGAGCAGAGCACTGGTTGGGGCAAAAGGCAACTCAATGCACATGCTGAGCGTGGGTTTGAACCACGTGCGATGAAGCAAGCTGTCGAGTTTGTTGATGTCAATGGTTCTGGTTAGGGATCGGTGGGCGATCCGAGGGCATCAAATATGGAGTGGTGTTGAGCCATTCAGGATGGGAATCCTCAGGTGATGAAATAACCGAAGGATTGCTGGAAGAAATGGAAAGTTATGGACTGGGAGGAGAAGTTAGTTGGTCGACTCTATCATCCCATTCTGGAGACCAAGAACAGGGTTGATAGGACGGAAGTTTGTCATAATCTGAGGGAGATCTGACCGAAATTGATTCAGAGAGTTGTAGTGGTTGTGGCGGGATGTCTGTAGGCTTAGACTGTTTAGCTCGTTTAGGAGGAACAGGCTCCGGAGCTGGTGCAGTTTCAGTAGGTTTCTGAAATTTAGAAGTTGTTTTCGAAGTCAAGGACTTTGGTATCAAGAGTTTCGATTTGTTTGTCTTCGAGGTCTTAGATGATGCAGATGGAGAATTGGAATGAGGTTGTGTAGCTGATAGACATTGTTTTGATGATTCAGTAATGGCTTTTTCCATTACTTTGGTTTGGGAAGTGGCCCTACAAGGAAGTTGGGCCATTTGAACTGGTTGTAGGGATTGTTCCCAAAATTGGAGTTTTAGCCTCGAGAGGTGAGATCGAAGAACTCCACGATTAAAATTTTTGCAGTGGGTATAGGAGGAAGTTTGAGGTTGTTCTCCCAAACAGAAAAGGCACTTAGCGTGTCCATCGGAAAGTGGGATCTTATTATCACAGACAACACAGTGCTTATATGGGCCTAAAGGGGCCATGAATCGAAAGGGGGGGGGGTTTGCTGTGGCCAGAGGCTGAGTGAGGGGAAAGGAAAAAATCTCTGATTATAATGAGTTTAATCTAATACTTTAAAAGAAAAAGATTGATAACAAGAAGGAATCAAGAATAAGCTCTCTTTCTCTTTTACTCACAGAAGCAGAATTATGAGGCTCTCAATGTGGTGGTTGAAAGAAACTGTCAAGGAAAATTACAGGCCTGAGCAGAATGGAGTGTATTAATGAGAATCCATAATGATCAGGTGTGTTAAAGCTGAGTCAGGATGACTCAGCAGAGCTGATGCAACTCATGAATGATGCAACTCAGGGATGATGCAATGTGTGATCTGATCGGTCCTGTAAATGTATATAAGTAAGTGTAAATTGTACAGTCAGTTGTATCTTCTTCCTGCTTGAAGATCACTTCTACATGTTATACTGCCAGACTGCTGTAAATACTGATGTAAATACACGTTGCTGAAGGAAATGCTGCTGGACTGTGTGTCAGTTATTTCTGGACTGCCTGGACTGCGAATCACTTTGCTAAAACCGCTATTTGCATTAAGAAACGCTGACAGAAACTGAAAGGGGACGCTTGGCGCCAAGGTACTTATACTAGGGGGAGGGTGTCAGAGTATTGAAAATCTACAGGCCTGAACAGAACAGAACAGAGCAAAAGTAATAATGAGCTGCCATGTTATACAGGTGTGTAATTTGCTGAGTCACAGTGACTCTGGAGAGGTGGTGGGTACATGTTCTCTATACAGTGTGTGTGTGTGTGTGTGTGTGTGTGTGTGTGTGTACACACACACACACACTGTATAGATAACATGTATACAGTGGTGCCCCGCATAGTGAGGTTAATCCGTTCCGGATTAGCCTTCGCTATGGGGAAACATCGCTAAACGGAACGGAAAAGCCCATTGGAAAAGCCCATTTAGTTCCAAATGGGCCCAAAACTCACCGTTCTGCGATGTTTCCCCATATTCTGGTGGCCATTTTGGGTGTTCCAGCGGCCATTTTGGAACCACCGAACAGCTGTTCCCCCATCGCAATGCGATAAAACATCGGTATGCGATTGCATTAGCGATCGCAAAATCCGCATCGCTATGCGGATTCATCGTTAAACGGTGTGATGTTATGCGAGGCACCACAGTATTGAATAGAGAACATGTGTCACCACCTTCATTTGATGATGCCATGCTGTTATGCTGCCGCTTTCTACACTTGTATATATGCTATAAATACACGTGTCGTGCTGGAGGAAGCTGAATGTGTCTGAGTGATTTATTTTGCCTTCTGGACCTCAAAAAACCATAACTCTGCTGGATTTTCGCGGGTTCACGGTAACAAAGGGGCATATTCTAATGTGTTCATTGCTACTGCAGAAGCTCTAGGGTGTGATTCACAGAGGCCACAAGGAGGTTTACTTTGAAATTTGTGAATTGAACAAAACTATTACTCATCTAATGTCATGTTGTTTTATGCTGTAAAATTAATTTCAATATATGATGACCCTATTAATAGTGATCTCCAAAAGATTCTTTCAGACAGGACACTTCTTTAAAATCCATCACTGCTGCTGATTTCTATATAGATCTTGAACAAAGGATTGGCAACATGATGATGCATTTGGCTTAGAGATAGTTCAAGAATTTTAGTGATATTAATAAATGTTGATTCCTTGGACATAAGGAAGGCAATGTAACAGAATGCCAGATGTCAATAAAGTATGACCCAAGTTAACAAGTGTTTCTCTGATAAAATTTTAAGCAAGCGTCTTTTCTCTGCCCATATAGGTCCCATAGGCTTCTATGAAACATACTGAAAGAGATTTCAACACATTATGATCAGCTTTATTTACACAGAACATTATTCTCAAGTTCTCTGTGCATTTTGGGCCACTTTCATAGTTTCTGTTGTGGAAGCCAGTTTGTCACTATGAGTTCTCAGGTCACTGATAAATGCAAATAAACAGTGGAACCAAACTGATCAGAATAAACTGAAGTGAGCTAACAACATGTAAAAATATGCCTTGCATCAAACATCTAAATTATTTCTAGATTGTCTTAATTATTCTCCTTTCAACTTTCTGACCTGACCTACAAATGTATAAATGCTTTCATACTTGGTTGAGGCCATATCCGATCAATACTACTAGAGGACTTTTCCCTTTGTTTTTATTTCGTATGTTAAAGAAAATGTCTCCATACAGAAAGCAACAAGGAGTGCCGTGGTGTCTTAACAATGACAGATCTATCATGACACTTCCCTTTAAGGGCCACACCCCACTTCATCAGAAGTCTCTGTAGTTCTACCACCTTGTGAAAACAAGTTCTTGTATAGTTCAAGCTATCAGACTTCAGTAATAAGATGATGACTGATTAGACACCAATGATTTCTTTCTATAAAACTGAAATTTGATAGCAGAACAATGCAATTAATACAACTGCAGATTATACCATTTCAGTTATGCTCATTATAATGATTTTCTAATCTTTATTTGGGAACTTTGTCCAGAACTCTGTTGGCTTAGGCAACTCTGGAAGAGCATCATATAGGCTTCCAGTGGGCTCTCCTTCTAGCAACCAGTTGCATACACCTTGCAAAACTGGGTGTGAAACCAGCCACATGTGAACGCTAATCATGTGAAGGAGAGCCTGCTGGAGGGCAAAAACACTGCACAATTGATCCTGCATGCTGAGTTTCTGTTAACAGGATTTGACCTTTGTAGTTAAACTGTGATTTCCAGGGCAGATTTTTGGAATATGTGTTAACAAAAGGAAAAGGGAATGCTCCAAATCAAGAATCAATGCAGTTCTGGAGAAGAGGACAATAAAAGAAGAAGAAAAATATAGATGGAGGAAGAAGAAGATTATTGCAAGAGGTCCTGACGTCTATGGTGGTGGGGAACACATTTAAATTGTATTTTGGTTTGTGTATTTTATGTTTATGTTTATGCTATAGTTAAAATAAAAATATATTATAAAAATAAATAAATAAACTATGATTTCCTGAGGTTGGACACCTTTACTGCTGTTTGGTAGTTCAGCGCCACACAAAGCCTGAGACAATACTCATCTTCAAACATGTTTATCACAAATAAATAGGGACAGCAGTTACCTTTCTCCACCTGCTCTCGTGCTTGTTGATTAGTCATTCCTGGGTATGGACATACCCCTAAACTGAAGGTCTCCCAGAGGAAGATTCCATAACTCCATACATCACTTTCAGAAGTGAATCGTCCTAGGGATTAAAAAAAAAAAATAAAAGTGTGGCGATGGGTAACAATGCATGCAAGCAAGCTTAAAACTAAACTTAAGATAAACTGAGCAAAGAAAACGTTAAAATATCACAATAATCAACTAATTAAAATTAACATAATATTCAGTAAACATAAATACAATCTGGTAATAGTGATTTAAGGATACTAAAAGTGCTCCTCTCACTACTGCTGTCCTATGCTCCCAAAAGCTTTCCCAGGTCAAAGGGGATCCCTAGGGATACCTGGAACCTGAGGAGAGAATAGGAAACTTTAAATTAAAGACATCATCAGCCTTTATGCCCTCAGAGTTGCACAACAGGATTTCAGCTACTATGCTGTAGTGGCATGTGGTAGTGTTCAAATTATGCTTGCATATCATCCCACAGTCTTGCCCACAATGGAAAAACTCCCTTAGACACTCTAGAACAGGGGTCTCCAAACTTTTCAGAGTGAGGGCCACAACATATATGTTTCAGATTTTTGAGGGCTGAAGGAAGATGCGTGTGCGCATGTTCCACCCTCCCGCCCATGTACACGCCTGCCCGCAATCCCGCCTGCCTGAAGGCCAGATAAAAAGGCAAGGCGGGCCGGATGTGGCCTGTCATTTGGAGACCCCTGCTCTAGAATGTGAGACCAACCAAGAGAAAGCTTTCTCTCATGTGTCTGTCAAACCTGCCTCCCCATAGCATTCTCAAGAAGACTTTTCCTAAAGCTCTTCACTCCTGGACAGGTTTGTCATGTATGAAGACAATGAGTATTCATTCAGAGAGAGAAAATTCCCTAGGCCCACAATTAATTGCTCCACATGAAAGGCTTTAAAAACAGATTTCATGCATTACATACCTACCCCTCATTTTCAGGACACAGTGATTTAAAACCTCTATCTCAGGGCAGAGTGGCAGGCAGATATGGCCCTATATGGCCTCCTGTTCGAGTAAAGTTCCTGTCAAGCATTTTGTAAGTTTCTATGCTCCTCATGGGAAGAGGAGCATGCACTAACCTTACCTCTTCCATCATCACTTTCCTCACATGAAAGTGACAGTCTGAAGAAGATGCAGCTGCTATATCCATGTAGGCTCTGGATGTGAGCCAGAATCTTACTTTTTTCCATGTTCTGCTTCATACAGGAAGCCTACTTGGATAGGCAAGCATCCTCAACTATTTAATCATTTCCACATGATTAAAGCAACAAGGGAAGAGGGTGAGCATGCTCCCCTCGTTGCATGTATGTATGCTCTCAGCACAGGTGAATAAGGCTTATGTCATGATACCCTGGCAGAGGTACAATATGAGAAATGGCAGGTAAGAACAGAATGTTAAGGATGGTTTTCAAGAGTGTTTACAGGAAAACAAATAAGAGGAGGGACAAAAGAGGAAGAAGCAACAGATTCAGGTTCTGATCAAGGAGTCCACAATACCATAATTTTGACGGATAAAGACAGCTGTGCCATCTACCCTTGGACAGTAGAAATGATTAGAGGAGAATCCAAAGGCTTTATTTATTTCAAACTTACGACATTTTTCAGGGCTAACCCTTCCAAAGCAGTTCACATCATCCTAAAATCAATAAATCCTAGAAATATTTATTTTATAAACTCATCATCCATACTAAAACATGAAAACATTAACAAAACAGTTAAAAAGAACACAGATATTAAATTAAAACAACTTTAAAATACAACATCAGAACTATAGCATTAGAATTTACTTACTTACAAAAGGAAACCTATTTAAATAGATAAGTTCCTTTCAATACATCTTTTTTTCTACATCTATCATTATGAAAGGTGTGTGTGTGTGTGGGAAATCCTATTATTTATATAAAAAGGTATTCTTTACAATTAACAGTAATTACATGCTACCATGCTGATTCCAGTTTATAGCAACCCTTGGCAGGCTTTTCCAGGTATAGGACACTCAGCAACAATTTACCAGTCCCTTTCTCTTGGGATAGTTTGAGACTTCAGTTTTGTCCAAGGCTACACAGGCTGGTTCTTCTCCCAAGGAGCTCAGTGGGGAATGGAACTCCTGTCCCCAGATACAGTATACTGAGCTAGCCAGACTGCTAGCACTTTTGCACAAAAACTGCTCAAATAATATAATGGATTTGTCAGGGAAAACTAAGGGAACACTTCTAAGATCCAAAGGAAAGTTGTTTTTAATTTATTGATTGGTTAACCTCTCAATTTTCACTCTTCCCACAACTGATGAAGCTTTCAAAAGAGCTGGTCTCAGTGGCTATAAGAAATCCTATAATGAAAAAAGGTTTAAATGTGAGATTTTCTTTTGAACTGTTGGCTATTAGAATTGCACATTTTTACAAATTATTATTGTTTATTATTCGGCAGATAGAATGGCTCTGAGTGTGCAGGTTTTTAGACTGGTAGGATAACAGATTTTTAAAGTATGACTCTCATCATGTTGTGGCGTTTGCCCTTGTGCCCCTTGCCTGACCGTCCAGACAAAGGCAAACTACAGTACTACTGGTCTTTTAGTTCCATTGGGAGGCATATTTATTTATTTATTTATATGCCGCCCACTCTACCCAGAGGTCTCTGGGCGGCTTACCTGAGTTACTTATTCTAGAGTGTTTACTGATTTTATAATGGATCTGTCTTTCTTCTTTTACTTCCAGTCACTGAAATGATTTCCATTTCAAGCAAAGGCTTTTTCTTCTCTTCCTTCAGATCTGCTCTGACCCCTGGCTTCTGCTTTTTCCACAAGCACTCTCTATACACTTAGAGACTTGAGCCTTAAGCTAGTCCACTGGGTCTTCAAATCTTGAGGTAAATACATGAATTATCTCTTCGAGTCATTCCCTATCTTATACCCCCCCAGATGTTTTCAGAAGCCCCCACCACTAAGCTTTTCCCAAAAGCTCTAGTGAGGATCCATACTTCTTTGCCACAGACCTCTGTCTAAAAGGTACCTTTGACTCAAGAAAAATTCTTTTTAAACTCAGACTTGACTGGATTCTTTCGTATCTCACCGCTGCCACCAATTGTGGTGTTTGCCCTCATGCCCCTGGCCTGACCGTCCAGACACAGAGCACACAAAGGCAAACTACCACTCCTTTTTACCCCGCTGCCACCAGTTGATCACTAATTCAACTTTAATTATGGAAGGATGAAGATTCAGGTCCAAACTTCACTGTCTTTTAAATAAAACACTTTTATTGATTACAGATGTTATTATTATTAATCGTAGGTAACTTCTATTATCATCAATCACAACCTTCTATTTGTTATTACAGTTCTTATTCATTTTTCACTCTAATCACACCTCAGATCTCCCAAATACCACACTCTATCTCCTTCTCCACTCTCTTACTCTGACCCTTGACTCTTACTGACTCTTACTAATTCTTTCACTCTCTGACTCCGCCTCTTTATTACATTTCATTCGGCTCCACCTCCTAGCAACATTAGCCTACAACATGAATATTCATAACTACTTAACATAATAAGGGTGAACGCTACACATGTCAAACCTTAAAGATTCCCAGAGGAGAGTGAAGGGGGAAGAGTATAAGCTTTCATGGACTGCAGCTGACTTAAATAGATGCAGCTTGAAATGATAGTGCCTTCACCAACAAAAATTAAAGTGTTTATTTAAAAAATGCTGAAAGTTTTGCAAATGTCTCTTCAAAGCACTGACCTGTTACTGAATATTATAATGAACTCAACCAATTAAAACTCTACATATATTGCTCTTCATATATCATTGACCTTGTTTTGCAACACTTTAATTATGAAGTGTTTTAGAGAAGGGCCTGGGCAAAACATAAACAAAAAATTATGCTCAAACCACTAATGCAGCACTAATTGTTATGATTGATATGGATGCTTACAGCTTCAGTTTCCATATCTAGTATCTAGTACAGTGGTGCCTCGACTTATAATCATAATCCGTTCCAGAAGATGGACATAACTCGAAATGGTCGTAAGTCAAAGCACCATTTCCCATTGAAATGCACTGGAATGTGATTAATCCATTCTGGCAAAAACAAACAAACAAACAACCCACCCACCTCAAATATAAATAAATAAAGCACACAGCAAGCCGGTCGGAAGGCGTTGGGACTTTAAAATAAACCCAACAAAAATAAACAGCAAACCAAGCTCTGTCACTGGTGCTTTAAAAACACACAAACAAACCCAAAACACACAAACAAACCCCAAGCTCTGTGGATGGGGCTTTAAAAAACCCCCAAATCAAAAATAAACAGCAAAGCAAGTCCCAAAGGTGCTGGGACTGCAAAAACAAACAAACAAACAAACCAAAAATAAACAAAGGAGCAAGCCCTGTTGCAAGGCACTGGGGCTGCAAAAAAAAAAAACACATCAGAAAACAAAACAACAACACAACACAGAAACATACACCCCCAGCGCAAAACCATGCTTCAAAACCCACCCAGAACAGTTTTTAAAGAGCAGAAAACAACACCTTACCTTACCAGGCAGCCTCCTCCGATCGCACACTTTCTAATTGCTGGGGTGAAAGAGCTTCAAAGAAGCCACCTCGTCTCTACAGTTAGCAATTTGAATTTCCTGCCATTTCCCCCTGCATTTTTTGTGTTCATAACTGGAAGCTCCGGCCGCAAGTCGAAGCAAAATTTTGCGGCCAGAGCTGGTCATAACTCAAAATGGTCGTAAGTAGGGATGGTCGTAAGTCGAGGCACCACTGGACAATTTGTTATTTTATTTATTTTTTAATGAGTTTAAGATCACTTAGATGAGTTAGATTACTAGTTTTTACTAGGTTTTTCCTCCCCTTCCAGTTCCTGCCAGTTCCTATGTGCAAAGTAAATGAAATGTGCGAAGCTTGACATGGTTAGGAGTGTGCATAGTTAAATTTTTCACATTTTTTTTTCATTTCAAGGGGTTGCAGGTGAGGCAGGGAACAAAAATGATCTAAGAAAGGAAAGGACTAAAGAAGAGGGAGAAAAATCTTCAAAGAAATCACAAGTGTGTGGTGGGAA